CCAGCCTTTGCAATACCTGTATTCAGATAACTTGCTTTGACATCCGGATGATTTTCGATAGCTTTCCTGACACAATCATTAAGAGATATTTGTTGCGCGAAAACATCCTTTTTGGTAAATATTAGGATAATAAATAGTATTACTTTTACTAATAAAGTTATGATTTTTGACATTTCCATATTATGATATCCAGCCGTCTTTTAGTTTGATAATTCTGTGGCCAAATGATGCATTATATTCAGAATGTGTGACTTGCACGATAGTTACACCGTCTTTTTCATTCAATTGTTTGAATAAACTCATGATTTCTTCTGCTTGTACAGAGTGGAGATTGCCGGTGGGTTCATCTGCTAGGATGACTTTGGGATTGATAGCCAATGCACGTGCTATGCCTACTAACTGCTGTTGCCCACCTGAAAGCTGATGGGGGAATAAGTCCTTTTTGGCGACCATCTGAAACTTGTCCAATAGGTCCGCCACTATAGATTTACGCTCATTGCCGCTTTTCTTCTTGTAAAGTAATGGTGTCTCTATATTTTCATACACTGTCAGCTCATCTATGAGGTGGTAAGCTTGAAATACAAAACCTATCAAATTGCGATGAATTTCATTTTTCTTTTTTTCAGATAGTGATGACGCTTCTTCACCCAATAGTGTATAACTTCCGGAAGTGGCGTCTTCGAGAAGACCGAGGATGTGCAGCAAAGTGGACTTTCCAGATCCGGATGGCCCCATGATGGAGACGAATTCACCTTCTTCTATTTTCAGATTCACATTTTGCAGGATATAGGCTTTTTGTGAGCCGCTGCTTACTTGTTTTGATATATTTATACATTCTATCATGGTACATTATGGTATAACTTGTATATTACCAACCACATGCCAAAAATATATTCAGCTGATATTAAGCGCTTTAAGTAACACGATGTGATTTATAATGTCCGAATATGGACGATGGTGTACGGAGTAGGGCTTTGCAGCATTTTGAAATTTTGCAAAGTAAAAAAATGAATGTAACTTTGTATTCTTTAATCTAATTTTCGTGCTTAGAAGGTCACAATTATTGAGATTTAAAAGAGTTTAATAAAACATCAGTCACAATAAAATTCAGAAGTTTAAATTGAAGTATATTTCTTATATAAAAATTCGAAAATTTAAGGTCTTTGATGAAGAAATTATTGTTTCTTTTGATAACACCACAGTATTAATTGGTCCAAATAACGCTGGCAAAACTACGATAATTCAAGCGCTTACTTTATGGCAATTAGGTGTACGTGCTTTTTTTGACACCAAAACTGAAATGGATGTCAAAAGTAAACAAAGAAAACGCAAAGGAAAGCTGGACACGACCGTTGGTATAGGAATCAACAGGCGAGATATTGAACAAGTGCCTAATACTGACACTCGACAGTTGTTTAATAAAAGCCACATACGCACAGGCTCTACCAATGAAAGGATACAACTGACGGTAGGAATAAATCATGACAATGAAGTTAGAGAGTGTGGTGTAGAATTTAAATATTTCAAATCTGAGGTTTTATATTGCTACTTGAATGAACTACTTACAAATGATTTAAATCTACTGGAAGCCGCTGCAACACTGCAAATCAACTTACTATACCCGATGTCAGGCTTGGAAAGAGAAGAGACTGTATTGCAGGAAGGAGCCATTCGCAAGCAGATCGGAAGAGGGATCACAGCAGGATTGCTCCGCAATATTTGTTATAATTTATATAGTAATGCCCCGGAAGATTGGAAGGAGTTAACTAAATGGATGGAAAATCTA